GGTGTTTCGGTATTTTATTGATTAAACATATATTTTCAAACTATGGCTCATTTAGCTACACTAGCAAACTAATTATTATGGATCTACGAAAATTACAGTGAGAACCTCATAATGTTAGAAATTTACTGTGAAAATTTTAGAGCCAACACTATCACTAATTTATCACAAAAATTCCTACAAGTTTATATCTTATATTATTAAGCATCTTAGATTAATTAGATAACTCCTGAAAATATTATAAAACTATGTGAACAAAATATACTAGCAGATAGATCATGATTTTAGGAACCTAACAAAATTAGTTTCATAATTTTTAGCCAACTACACAAATTTATATTGATTTTACAAGTTTGCTTAGAAACTAAATTAGGAATTGCTTAAGAAAAAAAGGAAAAAACCAGCGGCAGCTAATTCGGCCCAGCAGCCGAGCGCGACGCAGCTGTGCGCGCGTCGCGGCGGCCCAGCACGGCCCAAGCCCGGGGGCACCCGCGCGCGACGGTGGCTTTGCAAAAAAGCTCCCGTGCTTTAAGATAATAACATGACTACTATGAGCACTATTCCTACCGTCAGTAATCTTGCAACTATACCCTCGCATGTTTTCGTCTTTACCACGGGGAGGTCCCTGGGATCCCCACGCGCGTCGGCGCAGCGGTCGACGGCACAAGGCGGTTATGCTGGGCAAACTAGGCTCGCTACGACGACATTAAGGGGCCGCCCACTATCTACAACTAAACACGCAAGGATGGGTGGCGGTTAGGGACTCAAAGGCACACGGGCGCGGGCTGCAGTGGCGAGCGGCTGTCCACGGCGGCAGCGTGACTGTTTCGATGAGCCTACGTATGCTTGGCAGAGTAGAAGTGGTGGATAAGCATCAGTGGCTCACCGTGGGGTACGCCCTACTGATGGTTGAAGCAGGGGAACGCTGCGATGATCTGGCCACGCGCGACTGAACGAGGCGGCGGCGCTCTACGATGGACACCGACGCGTCACCCAACCGACGACGAGCACCCTGGCCAAAATAACGCGAGCAACGGATGGAGGGAGTGAAGGCGAACTAAGGGTTACGAGCAATTGAACTGTTACCACTCCTACAGGTCTTACCTCCAACCCTCTGGTCACGGCGACGCACATGACCGGCGACGAGCAAAAATTTGAAATTAGCCACGGCCAGACCATCGCTGGACCCGACAAGAGTGGGGCGTCTAGCTAACTTCCTCTACTTTTTACTGACGTAAGGAGATGAGCTGAGAAACCATGGGCTTGGCAAATTTGAAAGGCGGGTGCGGTGCCCAGGCTGAGGCCACGTCGTGGGGAAAAGCATGCGGACGAGCTCGAGGGGTAGGGCGTGTTTAAGCGGGGCTCCTGTCAACGGTGGCAGAGCGAGCTTGTGAACACAGGTGATGAAACCAGGCGGCTCGACGCGACGTGCTTGACTTGGAGCGGCCGGACCCGAGCCAGTCGCACCGTCGTCGGCTAGCAAGGGCAAATGAGGTAGGAAGGCACCCCATCGCCCCTATGACCGGGCCAACAACCAGACATGGCGGCAGCGGCATTTGCCAAGGGCACGACACGGTAGGTGATACGAGGGATGAGGCGGACGCCACGTCGATCGAGCGATGGCAGACGTAGCCTCGACTTGGCCCAGCGCACGGCACAGCGGGAGCTAGACCGCGGCCAGCCGGCGCGCAGCCAACGCTAGGCCGAGGCGTTGCGAGGCACCATCCGTGCACACGGCTAATCCGCGGCCGTGACCCGGCCATGGCGTGAGATCAACGCCCACAGTGTCCACACGCACGGTGACCGAGGACTTAGGCCGAGCATCTGCGCTTGGCACTGTGCACGCATTTTAAAGCGAAGCAAAGAATGCCGATCATCTCAACCGAAGTCCAACCAATCCTACTATCCTAAAGTCGACACTACCAGCTAGCTAGAGGAGCAATCGTCATGACCCGAGAGCAACCAGAGTGGGAGATAAAAGGATGCCAACTTGGGTTCATCGCTGAAGTGCCGGTTCACGAATAGAGCGCCAATCAACATGATTTACAGCGCGTTCCAATGAAGTTTGTGCAATTTTTACGAGAGCAACGTGATCTCCAACACAACTTCGACCTATGCCATGCTCAAGCACTCACCTTGGTGCAATCAACAGTACCAAAACATGCCGCTAGTGTTTAAACATTTTTTTGTTAGAAATTAAATGTCAAAATAACATTGTCTTACTACTTTTTCATACTTAGAAAAGTTAAGGATTCAATTCAAACTAACAGTCATTAACACTTTTGTTACAATTTTTAAAAGGCCTAAACCCTATTAACGGCTACCAACAAATATTTCTTGCAATTGTCCATACCTTATACTAACCCATAGGAGCAAAATAGTTAAGCACCATTTAACTATTTTGCTCAATATAATTTGTAAAAAATGGTGTTTTACACAATAGTTCAAGTGTTTGCCGACTTAACGAAAAGAGCTTATCTTAACGTCAAATTTGATTTTTGAGCTCCCAAAACACTAGTTAACAATATCTATTTTCCAAAAGTTAAAGTTGCCTTCCCATCTACTAAGCGTGTACTTCAATTTTTTTAAGTACTGAATACAAGTTATGTTTGATCCTTGTTCATAGAAATTGTTTTTTTTGCCTCACGTGCGTTATAAATTTTTAAAACCCAAAAACTTGTTAAGCTAATCCTTATTGGACCTAAATACCAGTGCTAAGCAAGCTCATAATATCAGGTGTTACGCTCTTCCACCATGAGCTCGTCCGCGACGGCCACTGTCTGCACGGGCCAAACTCACCATGCCACCGCGCCCAGCGGCGGAGTCGAAGACGGAGGCGACGACAAGGCACGCTCGGAGGAGTCAAAGACGCGGCGTGGCGGAGTCGAATGCGCGCTCGACGAAGTCGAGGCGCACCAGCGACATTGCGAGCGTGATGGGGGTAGAACTGGACTCCTGCTTGAGCTCTACTGGTCCGCCCATGGCGGATGGAGTGGAGGGCCATGGATAAGATCGTGTACTGCGGGCCCACATGTAAGTGGCTTTTAGCTTTCTCCATGAAGAATCCATTAGCTTCCTAGTGCTGATCTATTTCTTTATTCTATGGGGTGATTTATCTCTATAATTTGAGGGCTAAGCGTATGCTTAGCACTACGATTAATTTTGTACGCTTAGCACTATGATTAAATTTGTCCACACTGCTATTTTGTGTACTTTTTCAACACTAATCCATATCCATTCCAAAAAAAATCATATATTTCTCAATCCACTGTTTTCACCTATGTAATTTTTGCAGCCATCCACAGTCGAAGATCACATATCAAATATTTTTTACAGCCATCCAAACAATAGCCATATAATTTTTGTCACGTCTTACTAATGAACCAAACGGTCTAACTTTGCCATAGAATGTGACAAGCCACAGGTATGGCAAACACCAATCTTAGGCGTGGCAAATCGTGGCCAGCAACCAAACAGACTCAATATCTAAAATAGTGACCGTTAAGTCCAAACTTGCTAAATCTAGTCCGCCACGTTATACCACTGTAGCAGACGCTATAGCGACCGCTACGATCAATTTAGTACCCATGGATAGAAAATAGATCTGGCCGACAACAAAATAGAAGCTTGAAGCCACTGACCGTACCTTAGCAGCCGGTCTCTTCTGAAAATAGGCTATTTTGTGCCCATTAACTCCTATGGGCAGAGTCCGGCCTGGCCCGTCACATTTGTCAGTATCAAAGGTGGCTAGCAAAGCCCAGACTAGCCACTTCCTATTCATTTCTTCAATTTTGTTCACCAAATAATAGGCAAGCCAATGGATAGGGACATACGGTCCATTTAGTTTGCCCAGTTGTTTTAGTCAAACCTACTCCCTCCATTCCAAATTATAAGTCACTTTGACTCGTTCTAAATTAAAGTCACTTCGATCAAGTCAAAGCGACTTATAATTTGAAACGAAGGGAGTAACAAGTTCCAAGTATGACAGATCATATCCAATATCACACTGGAAGCCTCAAATGTTAGTTTCATTACAATGCAACAAAAATGAAAGATCCCAATGGCAAGTTGAACTTCCACTGTCTATTCATCGAAGTGAGAAACTGAGCTTCATATACTAACAAGGTGTTGCGTAAGCACCACCTGCACTAAAAGCACGGAAATCATTCTTTTTTTTTTGTCTTGTTGGTTCTCATGTAATGCCCAGAAAAAACACTGCTATGCGGAGATGATAATCGGAAGAACACGTTTCAGCAAATGCCTCTCTCTCTCTCTCTCTCAAAAAACAAACAAACAAACAAACCTACCATTGTGCACTGGCAGCACTGCACTAGTCAAATCACCACATACATACATCCAATTCCTTTGGGGAAAAAACGTGCCGAAAATCATCTGGCCCTGTGCTCTTTGGGCCTAACTACAGCAGAGGCCGAGAATAGGTTAACAAAGATGGCCCAAGCATTTTGGTCGTCGATTGCTGATTGCACACGCCCGCTACATATCAATGGACGAACTGAACCGTAGCAATCCAATAGACAATGGATCCAGTTCTCTTCCGGCGACATCAAACAGAAAAAAAAGATAATCAACTGTTTTCTCAGCTTTTCTCTTTCTCGCCATAGTCAGTGATCAGTTCCAGTGCTAAACAAGTTTTTCAATCAATTTATTTTCAGGGGGCCAAGAAACAAATTCAATATTGCGTAATCATCTCTTTGCTTTATTTGATGGGGGGTACTTACAGGGTTACAAAATCACACCAAGCGAACTTCCAAAATCCAAAGGAGCAAAAGAACATCAGTGTTCACTCAAGGCAAGCCATGAAAAAAGGACTCATGCATGACAAAGGGGACATGCACTCACAAACCATGAAATGTAAAAGGGAGACTTCTAAAATCCGTTGGTGACAGTTTTTTGCACACGATGTGATGGTTAGACAAGAACCATGAACAATCTTCAATTCTGAACTCCACAGAATAGCTCTGTAAGAGGAAAGATTGCATGTCTCAAGCTGCCAAAACTATAATCACAACAAGCAGCACGACCCCAAATATGACCATAAGCAAGCAAATCTGCCAACGAAAGGACTTGTTAAAGTGCAGAATAGACACAGCAATAAAGCTTCAGTAATTTGCATTAGTCTGAACTTACCAGGGACGAGTTCGATTTCTGAGTCTTCACTGCTTTGGTTACCTCTTTCTTTGCCTCTTTGGTCACCACTTCAGAATTGTCAATGTTCATATCGATCTCCTCTGAAACAGGACAGTGTACACATTAGCTAAGAAGCCAAAAATTAGGACATCATATGTACAATACAATGTAAAAACTTGCCGATTATAATTCCTTGGGCATGTACGAGGGTAGCAAGATCTTTAAACACTTCATGTACTTCACCAATCTGTTGTTGGATCTCTTGAATGGCTTGCTCCCTTTCCTCAATTATAGCTTCATTGAAAACAATTTCATTGTCCAATTGCATCACCTCTTGTCTTCAGAGTAACATGGTTCATCAGAAGACTAGAAAAAACAGGAAATAGGATTCTACAAATTCTTGCTAGTGATGTCAAAGTTTGTCTCATATAACACGTTTATATGCAGGTTATATCACAATGTGAGCCTCGTTGGATGCAAACATTATTTTTCGATCCACTGCCATCAAACGTTATTTCTTTGCTAGTCTAAAAATCTCTCTCTCTCTCTTGTGCAGACATATATCCTTGCAAATTCACATGACAGGTCACTTGTACCGACTAATAAAATAGCGCAAGCCCTATAGCTTCACCACAAACTCATGGGCAAATATGCCATGGGACATAAGGCTTAGTTAAACAATCCTGTGTTTTCAAGTAAATGAGCTAATGCAACAGTCAACAGAGTTTCAGCTGAGCTTCCACCTGACTACCAGCTAATAGTTCAATACTGACCTTTTTGATTCAGCAAGTAATGCACGCTGCTCAGGCATATTACCAGATTCAGAACTTCGGTCATCTGTAGTATAGCTGCATCGCAAAGACCATAATAACATACAGAAGATTAGCGGACAGCCGAGTCAAAGACAAAACAGCACAATTAAAATAAGTTTAGATTACACTAAGTGAAGCCCAATAAGTAAATTACAAGTCAATAGTAGGACCATGATATTGGGTCAAAAATAGGGCCATGATACAGAAGAAAAACATAAGTCAAAGACTACGCATCTGTTTATAGCTAGATTACACTAAGTGAAGCCCAATAAGTAAATTACAAGTCAATAGTAGGACCATGATATTGGGTCAAAAATAGGGCCATGATACAGAAGAAAAACAACTCCGCCTATGTTGTCTCAACATAGCAGGTCCCAAGCCCTGGTAAAAGAGGAGGGTTGTGATAGACGTAACGAGCCAATGTTAAATCTAGTCATTCTAATAGAGATGAAACCCGAAAGAAAACCGTTGGGGCGTAACCCTCTTAGCGATGCGCCATATCGGAACCCGGGTATGGTGTTAAATGGGCAAAGGTCGGGTCGGCACCCCCTTGGTGATGTGCCGTGTCGCGATCTGAACATGGTGTCAAGTGAGCAAGGATCGGGTTGTCGCTTCCTTAGTGGCGCGCTACATCGCCCCCCCCGGGTGTAGTGAAAAATGAGCAAGGGTCTTCACATCTAAGTCGACGGGTGCGAAGGGTAAGGAATCTAGTCGAACCAACTAGGATCCGTTTAGCTAGTTGGAAAGTAGGGTCGCTTAAGGTAAGTTAAAAGAATTAGTTGATACCGTGACTAGGAGGCGTATAAATATATTATACGTTCAAGAGACTAAATGGAAGGGTCAGAAGGCGAAGGAGGTGGACAATACAGGTTTCAAGCATTGGTACACAGGGACAGTCGTGAATAGAAATGGAGTAGGAGTTTTGATTGATAAGAGCTCCAAGAATGGTGTGGTGAAAGTAAGAAGGCAAGAAGATATGATTATCTTAGTCAAGCTTATCGTTGGTGATATGATCTTGAACGTAATTAGTGCGTATGCCCCTAAGTAGGCCTCGACGAGAGTGCTAAGAGAGTTTTGGAAAAACTTAGATGGCCTGATTAGAGTTGCACCTAGTAGTAAGAAGCTTTTTATAGGAGGAGATTTTAATGGGCATGTAGGTACTATAAGCGCAGGTTTCGAGGTAGTTTATGGAGGTTTTTGGGTATGGTAGTAGGAATCAGGAGGGGGAGAAAGTTTTGGACTTCGCGGTAGTTTTTGACCTGATGATAGCCAACACTTTCTTTAGAAAGAGAGAATCTCATCTAGTGACCTTCAGTAGCAGACAACACTCTTGCCAGATTGACTTTGTCCTCGCAAGAAGAAAGGACAAACGAGCATGCTTGGATTGCAAGGTGATACCAGGGGAGTGTGTTGTTTCTCAACATAAGCTTTTGGTGGCAGACTTTCATTTTCAGGTGCGTGCCCGTAGGGATAAACAAGCTAAGATTAAAAGAACAAAGTGGTGGAAACTGAAAGGGGAGACGTCAGAGGTATTCAAGGAAAGGGTTATCAAAGAGGGCTCTTGGAAAAAAGAAGAGGACATAAACAACATGTGGGAGAAGATGACTACCAACATTCGGAAGGTGGCCTTAGAGGTGTGTGGAGTAACCAAAGAAAGTGAAGGCGAGGCTAAAGATACTTGGTGGTGCAACGAGGAAGTCCAAAGGGCTATTAAGGAGAAGAAAGAATGCTATAGACGCTTGTACCGTGACAGGAGTGTGGACAACATAGAGAAGTACAAGGTGACAAAGAAGACTGCAAAGCGAGCTGTAAGTGTGGCAAAGGGTAGAGCGTATGAGGATCTTTACCAACATTTGAGTACGATGGAAGGAGAGAAGGACATTTATAGGATGACTAGGGTTCATAAGAGAAAGACAAGGGACTTCAACCAAGTTAAGTGCATTAAGGATGAAAGGGAGCATCTCTTGGTGAAGGAGGATGAGATCCGACATCGATGGCAAGAGTATTTTGACAAATTGTTCAATGATGAGAATACGGACACAACCTTTCAGTTGGATGACTCTTTTGATGACACCAATAGGCGCTTTGTGTGGAGAATCCAAGAATCTGAGGTTAGAGAGGCGTTGAAAAGGATGAAAGGAGGTAAGGCGATGGGATCGGATGGTATCGCAATCGAGGTGTGGAGATGCCTCGGGGACATAGCTATAGTATGGCTAGCCAAGCTATTCAACCATATTTTTCGATCGAACAAGATGCCTGACGAGTGGAGGAGAAGTATATTGGTACGGATCTACAAGAATAAAGAGGATATTCAAAGTTGTACTAATTACCGGGGAATTAAGTTGATGAGCCATACTATGAAGCTATGGTAGAGAGTTATTAAGCATCGCTTGAGAGCAATAACGCGGGTCTCTATGAACCAATCTGGTTTCATGCCCTAAAGGTCAACCATGGAAGCCATTTTCTTAATATGACAAGTTATGGAGCGGTATAGGGAGAAGAAGAAGGACCTACACATGGTTTTTATTGACTTAGAGAAGGCTTAAGATAAAATACCAAGGAATATTACGTGGTGGGCTTTGGACAAACATAAAGTCCCAACGAAGTACGTCGGGCTCATTAAGGACATGTACAACAATGTTGTGACTAGTGTTCGAACAAGTGATGGAGACACGGATGACTTCCCGATTAGGATAGGACTACATCAAGGGTCAGCTTTGAGCCATTATCTGTTTTCCTTAGTGATGGATGAGGTCACAAGGGACATACAAGGGGACATCCCTTGGTGTATGGTTTTCGTGGACGATGTAGTGCTATTTGATGAAAGTCGGACATGAGTGAATCAGAAACTAGAGTTATGGCGGGAGACTTTGGAGTCTAAAGGTTTTAGACTCAGCAGAACTAAAACTGAGTATATAAGATGTGACTTCGGTACTACTACTCGGGAGGAGGAAGATATTAGTTTGGAAGGAAAAGTAGTGCCTAGGAAGGATACATTTCGATATTTAGGATCAATGCTATAAAGAGACGGGGATATTGATGAAGATGTTAGCCATAGAATCAAAGCAGGGTGGATGAAGTGGCACCAAGCATCTGGTGTCCTATGTGACAAAAGGGTACTACTGAAGCTAAAAGGCAAGTTTTATAGGACAGCGATTAGACCTGCTATGTTGTATGGTGCAGAATGTTGGCCTATGAAAAAGACGACATGTTCAGCAGATAAGTGTCGTGGAAATACGTATGTTGCGTTGGATTTGCGGTCATACAAGAAGGGATCGAGTTCGGAACGATGATATACATGATAGATTAGGGGTAGCACCAATTGAAGAAAAGCTTGTCCAACACCGGTTGAGATGGTTTGGACATGTCCAATGGAGACCTCCAGGAGCACCGGTGCGTTGTGGAATCCTAAGCTAGGATAGTAACATGAAGAGAGGCTGAGAAAGACCGAAGTTGACTTGGGTAGAGGCAATAAAAGGAGATTTGAAAAGATGGAATATACCCAAAGACTTAGCCTTAGATAGGAGTGCTTGGAAAATAGCTATTCACATGCCTGAACCTTGATGGCTTCTACTGAATTTCAACTCTAGCCTACCCTAACTTATTTGGGACTTAAATGGTTTGTTGTTGTTGTTGTGATACAGAAGAAAAGCATAAGTCAAAGACTACACATCTATTTATAGCTATCTGTGAAAGCATACACATTGACTACTGATGACTTTCTCCATACACCAAAAAAGTTTTTTTCTAGAGGAACAAAAACAAGGAAGAAGAGCTGCTTCACTTAAATGTTAAGTCAATAATAGACAATAAACAACTGAGTTTCTGCAAAAGCTACAGAAAATATTTCTTTCTCTGTGTGTGTGTGTTGGGGGGCGAGGGGGGAGGCTTTCATGAGATGTAATAAATTGCCAGGAACATTCTAGCAAACTCAAGTCAAGTGTGGCCTGCCTTTGTCGGCTTGGTTCACTTACATAACTGCACTTTAACCTTACTCTTTTGAACAATTGTGGCAAAGTATTTATATTAACTAGCAAATAGCAGCAATCCATAATTCCATATAGCTCAACTTCTCATCTTATGAGTAACCTGTGTATCTAATGTAATTTATAAACATGTGCCAAACTAAAGAATTTTCATGACAGGAGAGAAAATGGAACACATAAGACGAATTTCAGTATGGATTGGTTTAATAATGAACGGAATTACTTTGACTGAGCATTCTGGGGAACAACTGGCTTATATGTTGTCTCCCTCTGAATCGCAAGACTCTAAAGTTTCCTGAACTCCTCCATTGTCGCAGCAAAATCTTTGGCAAGCTTCATATCAGCTATCCTCTTGTCTAAAGGGGCAGACCCAGTGCCGAAGGCTCCCACATGTGTAGGGTCTAGGGAAGAAAAAAACCGAGGCAAGCCTTCCCCCCCCCGCAAGCTATCATCTTGTCTGCCTGTAATAAAACACCAAAAACCTACTTAGACAGCTAAGATTGTACTATACATGTATAAATGGAAGCAAT